ATTACTAGGAATCCTGAATGCTGAGTGGTGCAACGATAGTAATTTACTAAATCGCAAGCAATCCAGCAGGAAAAATAGCATCGTCTGCAGCGGGCTTTATTTCAAGTTTAGTTAAGCCCGCTGCAGACAATGCTATTTTTCCTGCTGGATTGCTTGCAATTTAGTAAATTACTAGGAATCCTGAATGCTGAGTGGTGCAACGATAGTAATTTACTAAATTGCAAGCAATCCAGCAGGAAAAATAGCATCGTCTGCAGCGGGCTTAACTTTTAAGCCCGCTGCTATTTTTCCTGCTGGATTGTTTGCAATCTAATAAATTACTATCGTTGCACCATTTAGCACTCAGGATTTCTAGTAATTTAGCAAATCGCAAGAAATGCAGTAGGAAAAATATAGCATCATTTGCGGCGGGCTTTATTGATAAAAGAGGATCCAGAATACGGGCTCTTCGATGTCCAATAGAAAAATGCGTTTACTAGGAAAAATATTGTTAGTTAAAGTTCCTAGGACGCACATTTCTGCCATAGGGTTACAAGATAACTAGCTTGGGAACAGACTGGAGAACAGGTTGCAAATTTGTGTCGAGACATGACAGCGAATCTGCGACTGGCGGAGTGGCGGTATACGTTCTCAGACCGACCTGTCACTCTGAGTAAAACAAAGAAATTGATTACACGGATGAGTTTTTTTTAAGAAAAAAAGGATGCCTGTACATTGCGTCGCTATTGGATGTAGAAACACCATCGATATTAAGAGAAAGCCCGCGGTACAGATTGAATTGGAAAAAGTGGTAAAAATAACATTCCACTCGTGAGTATAAGGTTATATTAATGTAACTTGAAAAATAATCTTATAATTTTCGTTATTTTGATTAATTACGTCTTTTTAAAGAAATATCGCTCTACAATACGAACAAGTAATATTATGTATAATTTTTTATACAATATACCGCCATTTTTTTGGTAGATTTCCTTCCGATCCCGTCAGAAAAGCAGAATGGATAAGGATATTGGGACTTGAGAACAAAATTATTAGCAACAGAAGTCGCCTGTGTTCTCTTCATTTTAAAGAAAAACATATAGATCGCACATCTTTGGTGTGTGTAAGGTTGAGAGAAAATGCTGTTCCACACGCAAGTATCTCAGTTTTTCATAAAAATATCGAAAACAAAGTATTAGAACAATGATACCGCAGAACTTTTTATAGAGTTAAAAGAAATGAAAAGTTTAATCAATATATATAATTACAGATATTTGAAGATGTGGATGACAAAATGGATACAAACGAAACAGGTAAAACAAAACGGAAGTGTTTTGCTAATCTATATTGTCAAAAGTGTTGGTTCTTTTATAAATTTTTTTCTCCAACTTGGATCTCTTTTTTTCTTTTTATTAATATAGTTTGAGATGTTTTTAGAGGTAGATTTTGTCTAATAGAATTATGTTGATTTCTCTCAGTGTCAGCACTACCGGAATTTTTAGACACGCAAGTGAAGACAGAAGACTGTTTCGAAGAACCTGCCAATTGTAAGCTCGACACAGTTGCAGTTTTAAAATGTGATAAAGGAACGGACACTTCGATGTCCCCAGCGAAGAGATCGACACAGGACAAGGGAACAAGAATCTCGCCTGAAAGAATATGGACTATGAATTTTTCAAATATGGAAATAATTAGGAAAGCAAGCAATGCTGAGATTGAACATTTACGTAAAAGGATACGAACGTTGAAGCAACAAATCTCGCGAAAGGACAAGAAAATTGACATTATAAAGTCTATGCTGTCTCTTTAGCGGTCGAGATTGTATAATTAAAATCTTTGAGTGCCTCGTGTCGCGTAAGAGCTGTATAAAATCGGAAAGATGGTAATCTTAGACATTGAAAACATTTTATTCAGTCAGTAAGAAGCATTCTACATGATGATAATAGTAATCATAGTATAATCCGTGATAATAATAATAATAATAATTCATTCGTAATAACCACAATTTGTAAATGTACAAGGTAAACTGTCTCTCTTTCTCTCTGTCTCACCCTTGATTTCTCTCTCGCTCTCCGTTCTCGCAGTCTCTCTCTCGCTCACACGCTGAGAATTGTCATTTATATAGTGTACATAAAATTACAGAAAAATTCACCAATATATAAATCAAACGTCGTTACTCTTCAAAGACTATGAATGTAGTCAATAAATCATCCCTATCATCATTCCGTCTCTGCTGCGAAGATACTTCTTGATACTTTTCTTCCTTACTTTTTTTTTCTTTTTTTTCCCAGTTCGGCATTCGGCAGCGTTGTTGGATTTGAAGGACTACTCTTTAAAAAGTCCGCAACGGCAACGCTCTCGCAATATCTCTCTAATATATATTTGTACATTTGTAGGTCCTTTCCTTATAACCCTGGGACACGCGGAATCCCCCTAAATGCTCCAGATCGATAATAACAATCAATGAAACATCTGTTCTGTCGTTATGCTGCGCTCACACTTAGTAGATCTGGAATGGACAAGCAACGTTTAAACCTCAACTGTATTTCTTTCCCCTACGCGGTTCAGATCATCAAAACGAAATGGTGATCCGCTCTAGGCTCTCGTCTATACAGTTCTTTAACGGATTGACCATCGCGGTATCGAGCGAGTCCTACGGTTCTCTACTGTAAAAATTACATCCGCGTCTCCCAGGGCTAATATAGATCGGCGAGAGTATTCAAGGCGAATAAATCCACTGTACGTACATCCTTCAACAAAGTTCGGTGGAAATACGTCCCGTAAAAAAACCGTCGGCGTGTAAAGAATCGAGGCTCGTAACAACAACGGGGCGAGCGCGACCGCTGCGGAGTTTTCTCCTTTTTTTTCCCGTATTACTGTAAATCCATATTACTATTGATTTGAGGTAGTGTATTCAATGTAATCCTATTACCTTGCTGCTATATGTTGCGTGTGTGGATATGTTGTGTGTCCTATGAATACTCCTTCGCACACCTACCACACTTGCGACCGCGAGCCCGAGAGACCGCGCTGTGTCGGTTAATATACGTATAAAAAGAGTCCAGTGGGCCGGCAGGATGCTCTATCTTGTGTGAGATGCAAAGTGTTACAGGCCTATTGCAAAATATCGTTATCGGCAGTAATCGAAATCTGATGAGGCGTTGATCGACATATCTATGTTATCTCTCTCTCTCCGGGCTCGCAGCTCACGCCGATCGTAGGTGCGCTTCACAAAATTATCGTCTATGCAATGGAGTATGAGGAAGCCGAACGTCGGACAAATTCCGTCGAGACTCCCGTCTCGATCCCAATTTCTTTTTCTTTTCTTTTTCCCTTTCTCTCTCTCTCTCTTTCTCTCCCTTTTTCTCTTTACGCGCGCGCTCGGGAAATTAATCCCGTATTAATAACGCGCGCGTGTGTACGTGTGTCTCTTCAGGAGCGTTGGATGTTCCGCGAAAAATCCGTCCGCAATTCGGCGTTTTTCAATTTCATTTTTAAATACCAAATACGACAAGGCTGCTGACATTAGGCTTGCTAGCACTTTGTAAATAATGCCCAGCGATTGTGCTATTTTGTTTAAGTTTCTCTTTAACTATTATTTCATGAATAATCATTATCACATTTTTTCTTTTTTTTCTCCTTTAATTAATCGTCTTCACAGATGGTCGAGGAGAGGGGGAGGCGTGTAACACATCTATCGGTGCCGCGCCAAGTTGGCTCAATCTATGAACACTTCTGTAAAAAATATAATATCTATGGATGGTTGAGCCCTTGGCCAGCATACGCAGCGAACCGAGTTTAAGTTGCCTCTCGCGAGGGCAAACGGGGTGGGTGGGATCACTTCTGCAGAGAATGAGCAATGTGGCTATATAACGTATATATCTAACGTACGTATTCTCTGTATAGAACAATATGTGTCGCTCAACTTGGTTACGTGAAAGGAACATTTTCACCCGGGGGCGCCTCGACGGAGCGACGGGCCCCGCGTCTAACGACGTTAAAAAAGAATGCAACCCATTTAAGGGAGGGAGGGAAGACTCCTCCCGCGCGATTTGATTGTACAAGTATCCTATTTATCAGGCTCGCAGAAGTGATTATCGCCCGGAGTCTTCGTTCGTTCGTCACTTGGTTTGTTCCTTCCTTCGTCACTTTCTATCCGTTACTGTGTGATATGACAAGCTCCCCCTCTCTCTCCCTCTGAGAAATCAAACAATCGGTCAATCGAAATCAAATCTGAGAACATGACGACAATTTTGAATTTTGACACGCTCGTGTTATCCTTATATTACCATCAATATAAGTTTAACGACTTAAAACCAACGCAAAAACAACAGCTGTACAATGCACAAGCACATTGTAGTAATAATAATAAAAGACAAATGAGACTTAACGTAAAAACATGACTCACATTCAAATGTTTATAATAGCCTCAACAGTTTCACCAGGGGAAAAACACAAACGAAACATACATATAATATAGTAAAACTAGTAACTACTTCACTACTCTAAGACAGCGAGAAAATCCTAAGACATGCGATATCGACGAAATATCGTTTTTTGCTTCTTTTCCTCTTTTTTTTTCGCTTGATTTTGTCCCGAAATATTTTCCGAAAAGCTTGCTTTCAAAGATTGCGCCGAGTACGTGCAGTTCCTAAAGAATGGTTCCTTTTTTTCCTCTTTCCCCTTTGAATCTTGTGTCTTGTGACTTTAGCGCATTTTTGCTGTGTGAATGTCTTGTGATTTTTACGCTTTTCGTTAACAATTAATTCAATATCGTCTCTCCTGCTATGTTTACTGATTTCCTCCTCCCTTCGTCCACCTCTATATAGCCGGAGAATATTTCAAAATAAAGCAGAGGAATGTTCTGCTTTCAACTTTTACGTGTAATCCACAATTTTCAATCCTGGAGCCGTTAAGTCCACTACTCGATCCAACATTACAATACAATATTACGCTATTACGACACATAATTTCCATTTAAGCTCGTATGTGCCATCGTTATCTCGACGTTGTTCCTCACCGCATTCACACTCGCGTGGAATACAGTTTGTTTTTTTTTTCTCGATGGATCTCGTCTCTCAACTCCACAGATCAAAATTGATCTCTCAGACAACAGTTAAAGATTAAAATCATTATTAACTAGAATTATCAATTACACGACCATTAGTATGTCTTATACAGTAATAAATTACCATCGTGCTATTTTTACTCCACCATCGACACACGTTGTCTTCCTTTTTTTTTTATTACTAGATGTTACGATGTTATCTTTAGCTTAACTTAATAACGAGTATTAGTGGCATCTGCTTTTGTTTCGAAGAAGAAGTCGAGTAAATTTATTTCTTTTTTTTTATTTTTTACCTTAATCGTTAATGCTGTATGAAAGCCCGGGAGATCTCGTCCAAAGTCCCAGAGCCGTCTCTTCATCAAGCTCTTTAATGATGCCGTTTTTTCTTGAAACCTGCAACGTGAATTCTCAGCTTTAGCGCGCCCCGTCCCTTGCCGACACGTTCGCGCAGAGCTACCGCGGCGAGGGAAAGTTACTCTTACTCTTTTTAGCCTTGCCCTTCCTCTGAGCTTTTCTCTTCTTAGCGGTCTTGGTGGATGACTCCCCGAAAGTGGTGATCTCGTCGCCGAGAGTGCCCAGAGTGGTCATCTGGCGGCGTCTGTGCTTCTCCTGCTTGGTGACGGGCAAACGCGTCATGTAATTCTCCTCGTACTCGGCCTTCCGCTTGTCCTCGCGCACCAGAATCGCCCGCTTCTCGCCCAGACCTTGGCTGTCCTCCACGGGCGCGTCCAGATACTCCTCCTTGAGCTCCCGCAGCACCGTATTTGACACGACGCGTCTGCGAGCTCTGTCGCTGGCCTTGCGGATCTTCTCCGCCATTGTTTCGTCGCCATCTGGAGAAATTGCCAACGTGGCGCGATTAAGAAGCGACGGACGAACGATATCGACCCGAGCTAACTCTGCGTAGTCAAAGTGGAAAAACTAACCGTAGTGCACCGCAGCGAGCTTGGGCGGCACGTAAACGCTAGACTTCCTGGACTGCTGCGTTGTTGACTTGACGCCGTCCGCATCCTCCTCCTGATCGCTGTCCGAGTCCTCGCTGTCGAGCTTGGCGACCAGCGCGTCGGGATTCGCCCTGAAGTTAGTGGGGTCGTCGCTGTTGATGGTGCCGGTCACCGCCGTCTTGACGAGCTTATCTATTTGGTACTTAAGCTTGTGGTCTATTGGTCGGATTTTCTCTAGGACAGTCCTGATCTCGATGAGACGATCGATCGACGGGTCGCCCTCGATGCGCTCGCCGGAGCACTTTCTCAGGACGACGTAGGTCAGGTTGATGAGATAGGAGAGCAGCATGTGGTACTTCATCTCCAGGAAGCTGAGGCCCTTGTCCGTCGAGATCTCGCCGTTCTTGACGCGCACCAGCATGTTGTCGACGAGCTGGTTCACCTGAAGAACGTTGGCGTTCATCTCCCCCAGCAGGCGGAACGCCTGCGGCAGGTCCCTCTGCTCCATCTCGTCGATAGCCTGCCGGGGGGAAAGGAAAAGGGTGAGAAATAATTACAAGGAAATGATGACAAGGGCAGCCCGTGCGAGCCTTACGATCATCGTCGTGCCCCTCGGCGCGGCTCACTCGCGGGGCGAAGGAGAGCGCGTCGTCTCGCGGCGTTTATTTACGTTCGCAGCTCGTTCCCGCGCGCATAGGTTAAGCGGAGACGGACCGCCGGGACGGTTCTGGTCGCGAAACGCCCACGCGAGCGGCGAGTCCCGCGCGGTACGCGGCGGCCCCGTGCGGGCGAGTGCGGCGGGTATCGCGTACGTCCCGGTGAGCGCGGTGTTTCATTCAAAAAAACGTTCGGCGCGGCGAATCCCGTGCGTGGAAACGCGCTCGGCGGGCGATTTCGACGGTAATTACGGCGAGAAACTCGCCCCGGGCCGCTGCGGTGCCCCGGGAAAAATGTCCGCCCGGGACCGAAGGCACGGGGAAAAAAGCGCAATAATCTGCTGCCATCTTTCCTATTTACTAATGGATGACAGCGGAGGGAAAAAAAAAACAATCAAAAATCCCGACGGCGACACGGCCAGAAAAACGCGGCGGATACCGCGCGGCGCGGCCGGATTACGCGGCGATAACGCGCGGACGGCACGCCACTCACCTGCACCATGCTTCCGAGACAAAAATCAGCCGGACAGACGCATATCCAAACAACGTAACTTGTAATTAAACGAGTCCCCACGTGGGACGATATTTTCCTTTTCGGGGGGGTATATTTTTTCGCGAGGAAAAGTCGGGTCAGCCGAGCGACCGTCGCGCGAGTCACTAGAACCCGCGGGCGCCCGCGGACCGCGCCGTCTCGCCGCGCGTTCGGCCCCGCGCGATTTTTCCGCGTTCCGCGTCCCCGGCGTACGCGACCCTCGCCGGCCGAGAAAATCGCGTTCCGTGCCTCAACGAGGCGGCACTTCCGGCCGAGCGACGAGGGCCACGGGCGGCGCCATCTTCGAAATCGCGGACCGACGGCGCCGACGGACCGAATCCTCGCCACCCAACGCGGATACGAGCGAGTCGCCGCGGATCCGAGGTGATTTCCGAGCCCGCGTCGTCGGACTCGGCCGCGATTTCCCGTCCGCGGTTGCCCTTTTCTCACTCTCTTCTCCGCCCTCGCGGAAGCGTCGTCTCCCCCAGCCGAGGTGGCGCGCGACCGCGCCGACGCGGCTAGGGAGTTTCCCCGCCGCGACGTTGGCGCGCCGGCGCGCCCGTCCCGCGGCCAGCTTCAGCGCGCGGGCGCGCACGCGGCGGCAACTTCACCCTGGACGGGAGGCTGCTCACTGTCGGTGTGTGGGCGAGAATCTCGCGCGAGGTGGTGGCGAGACCGAGGGCGAGACTGCGAGAGACGGCGTGGCGCGCGCCCTTGTCGGATAAGTCACAGTAATCGCGTAGAATGGTAGGTGCGACCGCTCCCGCTCCCTTCGCCGAGGTGCTCGCTTCCCTCCCCCGGAGGGGAGACTCCCGGAGCGGAGCAGCTACGTGGCTCCGGGGACATGACACTCTCTCTCTCTCTTTCTTTCTCTGCTCTTCCGCGAGAGACGGTCGCGGGACTGACAGCTCGCGTACTCGCGCGTTCTTTCCCCGCCGTTTACGCAATTGCTGCGTACGTCGGATGATTCACTCCGCTGTGGATGTTTACAGTGGCGCGATTGCGTGCCGGAGCCTCACGGACTCGTCGTAAAAAGACCGACGGTTTGTCACTGTGTCGTTCTTTTTGTCCGTTTATAGAGACGTTTTATTGCCGTATGCCGATTTGACGAGCGTCGATCGTCGGCGGATTTGAAGAGAGAAATTGTCTGTCCCCCGCGAACCACTGGTCGCCGATCCTGCAACGTGTCGCGATCCTGTGCTAATCGGTTCAATTCTTCGATGCAGGGAAGATTGCAGAGAAATGGTGCCGTGCTAGTGGTAGTATGCCTGCTGATAGAGACGAATGGCTTCTACGTGCCCGGAGTCGCTCCGGTGGAGTTCAAGAAGGGTCAGAAGATTGACGTTAAAGCGGTGAAAATGACCAGCACCCACACGCAACTACCGTACGAATATTATTCCCTTCCGTTTTGCTTGCCGAAGAACGGAACCTTCATTTACAAGTCGGAGAATTTGGGAGAGGTGTTGCGCGGCGACAGGTAAAGACCTAAGGAAACAGATGAGGGGAATTCTCTTATTGATCCTTTCACGACCGCTGAAACCTACCGAGTCGCACTTTATACTTTTCGCCTCTTTGTATTCCTTGAGAGAGCTAGCGTTCTGTTTACAAAAATAATCCGGCCGTGAAAGGGTTGATCCTGTTGTCTTAAATTTACTCCTAAGGAGACACTTGCTGGCTTTCCTGCGCCGAGTGTCATATTCTAACGGTTCTCTTTACTTTTCAGGATAGTAAACACTCCGTACGAAGTTGTGATGGCAGAAGACATTACCTGCAGGCTGCTGTGTCACAAGCCATCCAAACTGATGACATGGGACGAGGCAAATTCCCAGCACGTTATCCAGATGGTCCAGCATGAATATTTCGTGCACCTGTTAGAATCTTATTATTAGAGGAAAGTCCTCTATTACGACATAGGATTCTAATATGAGATAGCTGGTTTTTAACGGCCAAACTCAATCGCAAATCTTTTTTCGCAACGATTGCACGATCAATTTTCTACTAAACGGATTTCACTCCACCGGCAATAAATTCATGATGGAACCAATAGATGATGCCTATTAATTTTACGGAAACTCCGCAATCTCGTATTAAGCGCCTATCTTATAATGGGGAACTTTCCTCTATACATATATTGCAAGAAAATACGCGTTTTGCATCGTCTCTATCCTGGATCTTTTTCAGGTTGATAGACAATCTACCAGCAGCTACGAAGAAGAAACACAAAGAAACGAATAACGTGGTGGTTTATCAAGGATATCGCCTCGGTGGAATTATGAACGATCAAGTGTACATCAATAATTACCTTAAGCTAAAGTTAAGCTATCACAAACACGGCGAGTTAGTATCCATTCGATGAAGAGGCTTACAGAGCTGGAGGGGGCTGTGATAGAAGCTTATCGTTTCGCCTCTATTTGCAGAAACGAATTTAGAGTAGTTGGATTTGAGGTGGAAGCTCGATCCATCGATACGTCTCAACTGAAGTTTAAAGATAATACTTGTATTCTACCGAGCGAGGCCAGCCCGCAGTTTGTCAATCCGAAAGGCACGAGCCTCCTCTTTCTGTACTTGGTGGAATGGAAGCAGTCGGACGTAAGCTGGGCAAGCAGGTGGGACGTGTACCTCGGCATGAGCGACGTCGAGATTCATTGGTTCTCGATCATCAATTCTCTCATTGTCGTCTTCTTCTTATCTGGTGAGAACGAGCAGTGGTCAAAGAGCGCTATGCGAAACTTTATATTCGTGCCTATGGAAAACTACCGTTCGAAGCATCATGTTAAAACTTACTGGTCTCTATCGAGCTTCTGCGATATTTCGAGACGCAAATTTGCAGGTGTACCACGCGACACGCGATGACGTTAGATAAATTATACAATAGAAGAAACAAAGAATATAGAAAACTGTTCCCCAATTGTGAAATAAGCTTCTAATATGAGATAGCGGAGTTTCTGCTAAATTAATAAGCATCGTCTCTCTTGGTTCCACCATGACTTTATTGCCCTTGGGGTGAAATCTGTTTAGTGGAAAATTGATCGTTAGATCGTGTAATTGTTGCGAAAAAAGATTTGCGATTAAATTTGGACGTTGAAAATCTACTAACTCATAATAGAGGACTTGCCTCTATATGATTGAGGAAGGATTAATAATTTCTGTATATTTCAGAATTTAATTTCTGGATCATGTATTTATCACAGGAATTCTTACGATGATCATGGTTAGAACGCTTAGAAGAGACATAGCCCGTTACAATGCAGGCGAGAGTGACAGTATGGCAGGTCTGGATGAAACCATCGAGGAGACCGGTTGGAAACTGGTCCATGGAGACGTGTTCCGACCACCGACCAACTCACGCTTGTTCGCCGCCGTGATCGGCAGCGGCATCCAGATATTTTTTATGGCTCTGATTACGATATGTAGGAACACATAGAATCTTAGGAATGCAACGTAAAGTACGGCAACTACATATTTGTTCATACTTGTCTTATTGCCCGCAGTCTTCGCTATGCTGGGAATGCTGTCGCCGGCGAGTCGAGGAGCCCTGGGCACCTGCGCGATATTTTTGTACGTGTTCTCCGGTTTGATCGCCGGCTACTTCTCGGCTCGATTGTACAAAACTATGCGAGGTCGAGAGTGGAGAAGAGCCGCTTTACTGGTAAAAGGACATGAATTCTATAAAAACATAAATTATTCGTATAGCCAAACATTTTTCGCGATAAAATTAACATTAAAAATAGAAATAAATGGAATTCTAATGTAAAGATTAATATTTATTGTTGCAGACGGCGACGTTTTACCCAGGTATAGTTTTCACGACATGTTTCTTCCTAAATTTCTTCATATGGGGAAAGCACAGCTCCGGTGCGGTTCCCTTCACCACGATGGTGGCTCTGCTATGCCTCTGGTTCGGCATCTCGCTACCTCTCGTCTATCTCGGTTATTTCTTTGGCTATCGCAAGCAGCCTTTTACGCATCCCGTTAGAACGAATCAAATTCCCAGACAAGTTCCTGACCAGCTGTGGTATATGAATCCAATATTATGGTAAGCTTTAAGAGAATTTTAATTCACTTTTTTTTCTATTATTTCGCTATTAATAAGTATCAATTGTAAAAGTAGATTGTATAATATGCTTATACAATTATATTAGTAATATATTTTTAAGTTGATATTTAAATAATCTGTTATTATTAAATATTAATAAAGGAAATGATCGTTACAGCACTCTAATGGCTGGAATCTTACCGTTCGGCGCGGTATTTATAGAACTCTTCTTCATCCTGACTGCGCTCTGGGAAAATCAGTTTTATTATCTTTTTGGATTTCTGTTCCTCGTTTTCTGTATCCTTGTAATCTCATGCTCGCAAATATCAATAGTCATGGTCTACTTCCAGTTATGTGGCGAAGTAAGTATAAGGAGAACATGATCAAAAGAAGAATCTTGTTAATTTAACATTCAAAATGCCATATTTAAATTTTTCTTAAGGAACATTTTTATACCTTAATTTGGACTATGATTTCACTTTTTCCATGTTTTCTCATCTGTAGTTTGGACTCTTCTTGTTTTCTCGATTCGTATTTCTTTCCTAGCTTGTGTAATATTCTTAATCTTATGCCTTGACGTTCTGATTTCAGGACTACAGGTGGTGGTGGCGTAGTTTCATCGTGAGCGGCGGATCGGCGGTCTACGTGCTGGCGTATTCAGTCTTTTACTTCGTCACGAAACTGAAGATCACCGAATTGGTGCCAACCCTCATGTATTTCGGTTACACCGCGCTGATGGTCCTCACATTCTGGCTGCTGACCGGAACGATCGGTTTCTTCGCCGCGTACGCGTTCATCAGGAAGATATACGCGGCCGTCAAGATAGACTAGTCAAAATTATCATTAGTAGACTAATGCGAGCGAAATAAATTTAGACTTTTAATTTAACCGAGCGAGAAAGAGGGGGAGAGAAAGGGAGCGAGCGAAAGAAAGAATGAAAGAGGCAGAGAGCAGAAGTTTTCGTGTCGTGTAGAAACAATAAGTTAAACGAAGCGGATGCATCTCTCATCTTCCACATGAAAATTTTTAACTACAAACGTTGCACACGATTTTGACTGACGTGTACGTATATTTGATGTATTGACGTAAGGTTTCTACGTGTTTATTCTTGCGTCCGTTACGAGTACAATGTAAGCTCCATGTTTGTCGCACGGCTTAGGATTTGCAAAACTATTGCAAATATAAAAATTGAATGACAAGGGAGAGATATATATTGAAGAGATTGATGCACCTTTAAGAAAGTATTTCTTTTCTTGTACTATTTTTTTTTATTTCTTTTGTTTTGAAATAAATATCGCAATGAAGAAATGTTCTTCTAACATCTTTATTTTAAAAGGAAACGTTGCAGAAATCGATTTTCTGTTTATCACGTTTGCCACTTTTTATAACGAAAAATGAACTTGTCGTGTTTGCGAGTACACGAAATATGCAGAGGTAAGGCGCGAATGTGGAGCTCCAATGTATACTGAATCTATTTTATTTATGTAATAAGTTACCGGGAGTCGATTGCAAGGTTTCTCCCGCGAGTACTTATAATTTACGACATGTATACACACATATGAGAAAATAATCGAACTGATCCACAAACGGTTGGACGTTGGCTATATCATTAACGTTCCCTTTTGTCTCGAAGACCAAGGGACTCTGTAAAAAATATTCAAGTAATGTGATATTAGTAACAGTCAATGTGCGAAAGTATTATATAGCCGATAAAAATGAGCCAGTCTAAAGTGTTTATCGTTTCCTTTAATGTAAGAATACAACACGCAGTTTCGCAACTGTCTCGGCCGGTCATTATGATAACAATAAGCGCAGTATGCAACGTGTATGAATAATAATTTTGTGTATCTATTTTACGTTCGTACGGGTGCACGTTTTTATTCTTCGACTTTCGGATGTTGTTATCGCAGACATCTGTGCGTCCAGTTTCGTTGACTCAATTTGTATGTTTTTTTTATTGCGCACTTGTGTAAAATTACGTCGGTACTTATATACAATTTTTTAGTAATTTTAGTAAGTAAACATCGTTTCAAGTTCTCCGTAATAGAATTCTATGTACATCGAGATTGACATCGTTATAACTATGATATATTACAAAAGTATTTTATACTATTACTGTTGTAAATAATACGTGATGGCTAGCGTGTACGAAACGTGTATACAGATATGTCCTAATTTCGACAATTATAACCTCCATAAATTGTATTGTATATAGAATTATTATACGCCCGTTCGCGCGTTCGAACGTGTCACGATAGAGTTAGTCAAGGCATTTTCACGCGCGAGTACGCGTGCCGCCTCGGCCTGAGTTTTATAATCAAATATATCAGTATGCATAGGAGACTACAACTATAAATAGCGATCACAGTAGATTCCACGGGCATGTAGCACTTGGAGACGGAGTAATTGCTGGGAGTGAAAGTACCCTGAAATAGAAATAATTCGCGGATGTATTGTGTCGCAACAAGAGATAATTAACTCATTGAGAAAGCCATAATAATAATATTAAGAATATAAAAAATTCCAGTTATAAGCATATTATGTGCTCTCATCTTCTAAAAAAAAATATATATATCCCAGTTTAATACCAGAATTATAAAGTAATTATTAAGAGTTCCATGGAAATCAGGTGAAAAGTTTGATGAATATTATTTATCCAATATTATTTTTGGCAAATAATAAATAATGCTCCTCAAATTATTAGCGACATTTTTGTATCCCTTTGATCTCTTCGCTCTATAGCTAAAGTAGCTTTTCGAAAGTGATTGTTAATGGGTTCACGTGAAAACGTTAAGGCCCGGTCTACAATGAGCCGTTAGTCGTTAGTCAGAAGTCGCAACTATATGTTGATCCTTTTCCTTTCTGGGTGGAAGAAAAAGGACCGACATATAATTCCGACTTCTGACTAACGACTAACAACTCATTGTAGACCGGGCCTAAGATTTACCATCAGGAGGGATGGATTGTTCTTGTTGCGCCAACTGAAAGACGGGATCGTGAATTCCAGAACGTCGTCCCGGTGTATCCTCCTGCAACCGTGATGAGTGTGACCGGCGACGATCAATCGCGGATTCAATATATCCAAGAGCTGCGGAAGTTAAAGTTTTATGTTAATATCGAGTATGCGCGGCCATCGGTACAGTTGTCAAACGCACCTGCTCCGACGCTTCCTTCGACAAGCATTCCCATCGCTCCCGGAACTTGATGGCCTTCAACTCGTTGGGAGCCTGATCCAATTCGTTACAAATCTCGTCCGATTCTCGATACATCGGATAATGCTGAAGGAGAAACGACACTTTTGTTAGTCCTTCAAGCGGGACTTTTTCTCACGTTTAAAAAATGTTGCGATTCTCTAAGACTGTCTATGCTATTTGTGAAAATAACTTGTTTACAAATTACGGCGAAAAGACTGACTTGCAGCAATATGGGCCTACTGTATCTAGAAATGGTGCTTGCGTTGCGACAATCGTTGCCGATTTTTCTCGCGCATTTCAAATCCTCTGCAATACGATACACATACAGACGATTTAGCGAGTAATCGATTACGAAAAAATCTTGGCACGCTAATATCAGAGGTGATAGCTTACTAGCTATTTTATTCACTGCGATCTCGGTCGGTCGGCACAGGAAACAGCCGTCCCCTTCTAACGCCATGCTGTTGATCAGCACGAAGTGATTGTCTCTCAGGCTCAGTCGTCGCACGTTCGGGCTCTTCATGCCGTTAATGAAGCGCTGATTGCGATACGGCGTGATTGCTGAAAGCACGTTCATGGAGTTTAGCCGAGTGTAATGAAAATACATTGTTAAAATATACATTTGCACTCAGGTAGGAGGCAGAAATTATTGCTGGACTCGTTATGATGGACAGATTCTTCACAGAGGATACACGGTGTCGTACCATAATGGAATCCCATATCGTGATTTCCAGCGACGACGTAGAGGCGGGTGTCCTTAGGCACATGGAACAAGGAATGGAATCTCTTCGTATAGTACTCGAACTCCGCGGAGCCGCACCATTTTCCCTCGTCGAAAACATCACCTGAATATCGCGAGGGATAATGAAACCAACAGGTCTCTGGTAAACGTGCTACAGAGAGAAGCCTGAGAGCTGCCAAAGCCGGGGTTTTAAGTGATCCTCGAATACGACATGACCTCGGTGGACATTGGAAAACGTGCACACGAGCTACGTATCCAATGTCCACATTTTGCCAAGTGGGTAACACTTGATTTGTGAAATTTCGGTCGCGTTTTGTGCTGCAGTCAGGTTCCATGCGATACTTTTGTATCTAAGATTATTTCGAGTACAAAATCATTGCCTGGAACCTAACCAGAGCGCGGGACACGACCAAAATTGCGCAAATCTACGTTAACCACTTGGCAAAATGTAGACATTGGCTACGTAGTTCGTGTCCACGTTTTCCAATGTCCGCTGAAGGCGTATTGCTCGTCTAAAACCTGGCCGCGGCAGCTCTCAGGCTTCTCTCCGGTTGTTAACGATGATACACGCATCGTTACCTACCCAGTACAAAAACTACGTCCGGTTGTTGTAACGTCATCATGGTTTGGAACGCTCTGTACATCTGCCATTCCCTGGGGCAACATATATCGATCTTTTTAGTATAAATGCAGGGCATAGAAATATGTAATTTAGAAACGTATGAAATTACAGCCTCAGGCCTGGACTCTGACTCCTCTTTTATCAATAAAAGCGGCTTGTAACCGATCATCTGCCACTCTTAGAGGGGCTTTTATTGATAAGAGGATTCAGCACACGGGCCTTGGAGCACAAACCTTCGCAGTTTATCGAACCAATGGCCCTCCCTGGAACCCAGCAAATGAGTGTCCGCTATAAACATAGCTCTGACAGGCCTGTCCGTTGCTTCTCCACGTAGAGCGGGGTCCTCTTTCCGAGGGTCCAGAGTGGGCCATTCGCACTAAGAATTAAATTGTGAGTTGCAAGTTTTCGTCAAGGGCAAAGTTGTTCCCAAGTGGTGTAAGCTTTTACGGGACTCACCTGCGTAAGCACCACGTAATATACGAGGTATTCGCAGAACAGCAGTAGAAACGTCAACCCTAAGCCCACGTGGAGAAGCGTTCCGAGATAAAACTTTCTCAACATTCTTGGAAATTCATACGGAACGCTTAGGCATAAGCTCTTTTAGCTTATCGTACACGCAAAGCTCTGACGTGCCATTTTTTGGTACCTTGTGACCTGTGCACCGTGCAAAAACAGTGCGGTGAATTCCTAACCTAATTCTGACCTAACATAACCTCAAATCTAATTCCGCATGGTCGTACGCACGACATTATGGGCCCGTTCCCTTTAAACGAAATGATTTTTTGGCTGTTCTGTCTTTATCCCGTCATATTATTTTTTAAATGCTGGTGCACTTTCTTTCTAAACTTTCCCCCAAAAAGAGATTGTCGTGTACACAAACTAAAGTTTAGGACTCTCCAATCAAAAACTAAGGCACGTGAGAGTCAAAAATATAGCACGCAAATTAAAGCATTTACAAGATGTTAAACATTAAGATGAAAAATTCAATAGACGTTTAGATTCTCGCTTTGGACCCTCTTCAGTATAAAGCAATAACAAATAAATATTGATCTATTTACTACACCCAATACATTTGTACTTTGACATAAATTTTATTTGCAATTATCAAAAATACATACATCTCTTTACGATAGTATCAAACGCTCTCAGTACATTCTGCGCAATTTCAAGATTGAATGCAGTAGGCAGTAAATACAATCAGTCTCATGCGATGCAACGGCGGCACCCAAACTTTCATGCTAACGTTAAAATACATAAAAGTGATGTGTAGATAAGAACGATGTAACGGTCGGTAACAATCAAGGTACTCGCGTTATATACACGAAATATGAAAAGAACTATAAAATAAATTACGCGTAACAAAACGATACTTAAAATTTCCCTAAATGTTCTATAAACAACTTGTGTCGTCAATTATATCAGCCATCATCTGCTTGTCCTGCAAAGCCTCGCCCAACTCCTTCTGATCCCACTGCAAGTTCACTTTGCACAAACGCGCCTCCTTCCTGCCCACGACTCGTAGGATACCCCTGGCCTCTACCAACGAGCACATGTTGACGAAGTCGGAATTGTCGACGGCGGATATGTTGCGCTTCTTGCAAACCGTTCTGTACACCTCGTACAACTGGAACGAATAGAGCGTTGTTTGAAAAGTTGTAATATGTAGCAAATTCGGTTGCTCGCACTAGCGCGTCCCCACTTGGGCAGGTTTACTTGTCGGTGCACTAGTGTAAGCAACCGAGTTCGCTAATAATGAGTTGCAATTAAATCTAGTTTAACAATTGGATTAGTTACATTTTATGCTTATGCATTTAATTGCAATTTGACTTACCCTTCCGACAGTGATGTCCTTGTTCTTTCCTTTATTGAGGATAAGCAATAGAGAGCAAACTAGCAGTTTTTGTTGAAGAGGAAACGTATCCTGCTCTTTATTGAGATTCTGTGTCCCACCGTAAACTCCATTTAACACGGTAACCACTTCCTTCAAGTCAACGGACTTCTCTATCGTTTCCTTCTTTAAGGTCTCTATATTTGTATTTGTATCTAGATGAAAAGCAGAAGAAAATCAAATGTTGACTACACGTTGCTCTTCAATTAATTATCTATTGTTCAATTTCATATCGTCATACAATTGTAATATATAACAGAGGAAAGTTCCCTATTATGAGACTCCTAATACGAGATAGCGGGGGTTTCTGCTAATTTAATAAGTACCATCTGTTAATTCCACCATAAATTTATTGGAGCAAAATTTGTTTAGTGAAACATTTATTCTTAGATTGTGTAATCGTTGCAAAAAAGATTTGTGATTGAATTTGGGTATAGAAAAATCTGTCGCATATCAGGAAGCTATCTCATGACAGGAGACTTTCCTCTATCAATATTTTTAACTAACACCGTTCCTGCGCCGCATAAAAATGTGTTACCGTTATCATTTGTCGGACGCAGCACCTGCGCCGCTTGATGCGATTCGGCCTGTTCTATCACCCTCCTGCTGATGTCCAAGGCCCTCCTGATATCTCCGGAAATCGCAGCTACCTTACCCGCAAGCAACTCTATTGCGGACGGAGTGAAGACGTTAGCCGCATTCGCCTCGTTCAGTCTTGCAAATATTATGCCGGATATCTGTCGCTTGTCGTACGGTGCAAACTGCATCAGCTCCGGTTTCAGTTCACACCTGGCCTGCAGTCTAGGCAATATTCTGTCAGTCAGGTCGAGGGCGTTGGCAATCCCGATGAGGATCAGCTTGGAGTCCGGTATGGAAGGCCACTCGAATATCGAATACAGCACGGACTGCTTCCTGCTCTCCAGCTGATCTATCTCGTCCAGTACTAGGAGCAGCGTCTTGTGTCTGGACATTAAGTAGTTCTCTATAACAGTTTTGCTGTTCTTTCTTGACTTCATTGCGTTGGGAATGGACAGCTCCTGGATTATCTTAGCGTAGATAGCAGCCGCGGACTTCATGCTGGTGCAATTGACATAGACCACCTTGAATTTCGACCTTACATTCGGCTGTTGCATAATTTTGAACAAACACGCGGTTTTGCCGGTACCCGGGGGACCAGAGATGTACAGGGAGCCTGACGTTCCCTCGTCCAGATGTTCGACAAGATATTTCTGCAGCTTGGCCAATTCCTTCTCCCTTCCAGGTAAATTTTCCGTCATGGAACTGTGCAACGATTTACG